TCGTGGTGGTATTGATTTTTCCTACAAAAAAGATATAAATGAATTATCGAGCAGAGATGCGATCGATGGGTAGCAAGTCGTTTAGCGTCGATACTCGCCGTCCGCCGACGCAATATCGCGAAACGTAATTTTTAACGGGGGATTCAATCATTTTTCGAAACGAATATCAGTTTATTACGTATAACATTACCTTTACCGATCTATTTTTTATATTTGCACTCTTCCATTTTTTTTTTTTTTTGAAAAATGGTTTTCTCGGAGAACTGGCGTTACTCTCAACGTTCAATATTTCTTCTCTGCAACCTTTTATAAATTCTCTCCATATTACATATATCTTCTTTATATTGCCGTAATAAATAAATTTTCGGCAGCTATTTAAATTTTTGCAGAATAATTCGGTGAAATCTTGCAATTCTCGAAAGATTTATTAATTTTGAATAATATGTATGCTTGATACATGTGCAACGCTTAAATTTTGCGCGGATAGGATTATTTGATTCTACAGTATGATGAATTATTATATTGTATATATAAAATATTGTACTAGATATGATCATTGTTGTATAGTTGTTCCACTGTACTGGAAAAGTAATGTGTAACGATTACGTCTTAAGCTACAACTACATCTATCGTAATGTTCACCGTAAGCGATCGTAACGCTCGTCGTAATCGCTATCGTAAGCTCATCGAATGAGTTGATTCAGCTTGAACTCTTTACGATTACGACGCTTGTCTAGCGTGTTACAACATAACCTAACTTGTCAGCTTTCTCGACGTGCGAAAAAAAATGTGTTTATAGATATATTATACATAGATGTACGGTTTACGACGGCTTCATTGCTTACGACCATGATCAAAGCGTTACGATAGATGTAGTTGTAGCTTTAATAATAATAAGGTCCGCCAATGGCAATCATGAACTCATTTATATACATGTATTATAAATTTAAAGTTTCACGTTTTGTCAGAGTACACTTTCGAAATATATTAATTTTGCAACACGTATCGATGGTTTTTCGTAATTATTATCTCCATTTTTTTGCAAACTATTTATAATATTTACATCATTCACAACGATATATTTATAATATAAATGAAAAATGTAGAAAGAATTAATGTAACTTAAAAAAAATTGATATTGACTGTATTTTTTCCAAGTTTTTCTAATTTAATGTGCTAAAAGGGATCATAGAATTTAATTTTGAAGTAATAATATATATAATTAATGCTATAATTTATAATTATTTTAATAATAATTATAATTATAATAAAATTGCTCGGGGGGTATTAATCGCTCCCCGGATTCGCGATTGGCCTGTATTAGGGTGGTTCGAAGAACCAGAGAGGCAATCCCCTCACGATTTCAATTAAGGCTGATCTACAATGTGCTCTTTGTTTTCTGTTTTTTGCTTTTAACCTCTTTGCGACTATCTCGTATTTCGCAATTCCGTCGTGTAACGTGATGTTTCTTGTCTCTTCTGAAGTTCGTCAATTTTCATCTTAGGCGACAGAGAACAAAAAACATCGCGTTACGCGACGCAGTTGCGAAATACGGGATAGTCGCAAACAGGTTAAGAGCAAAAAACAGGAAGCAAAGAGCACATTGTAGATCAGGCTTTAGGCGAATAAAGCGAGAGAGCAAACGAAAAGCGACTCACCGTTTCGTTGCCCGATGTTCTCGTGGTGGCCTCGTGGCTTCCGGTCCTCTCTGTGGTGCTGGAGAGCGGAAGGCGTGCAGCAGGCTAGGATGTGCAGGCACTCAAGTGCCGCAGCAGGCAGGCAGACAAAACGTGCAATACGGGCAAGCAGGCGGTATAGCAGGCACATGTGCAAGAGGCAAGCAAGCAAGGCCCGAGATTACTGAGACGACTTGTCGTGCTCCAAATGTGCGGTTCACTCGATCAACTCCGAACGGTGAGTGTCCAAAAATGTGTGTTTTCGAGTCCACGTTCAAACAGCGAATTCCTCACGGTTCTCCTCGGCTCACGCACCTGCGAATTGCGGCCGGAGCGAGTACTCATAGTTCCAAATAATTGCGGGCAACCCGTGGGCGGGCAGCACGAGTCGGGTGAGTCGCGCAAATATTGACACCTGTCGCGTCCGCCAACGTTTCGCGCGAGTCCCAAATCACGATATCGCAATTACCGACGGTAACTCTAACGATCAGGAGCTTAATGACTAATTGTTTGAGATCGTGAAAAACGGCATCTCGAAAACCGCGTTCGGTTGCATGACAACGCATGCACGCTTGCGACAATGAATATTCGCGTAACATCTCGCATTACAAAAATCGCATCGCTGCAAATTCACAGCATGGATCCTTCCAATATTCGCTTTCAAGAACATTCTGGCAATAACAAAGTCAAGCTAACGGTTCGCAATAACATGGCCTCAAACAAAGGAAGGATACAAGCTGTAAACAATTCTGGCGAAAACATGTAACGATCGTCAAATTGAACCATGACGCAGGCACGGTGACGTAGGTCGCCGAGGGCCAATCACCTTCCCGAAAATGGGTGGAAATTTCTGGAAAGAGCCTCGTTTCGGGAAGTGATAAAAGCCCTTCGCCGTGCCATGCCGCGGCGAGCAGAGTACGCTTTCGTACGGTTTTTTTGCTCGCAACACGTATCGCTATACGACCGCTTTATACACCGCTGAGTTACACCGCTTTCCGCAAGGAAATCTATTCTGCTTGCTATCGCCGCTTGCCATTCTAACGCCTGTGCGTGCTACCGCTTTCTACGTTCTTTCAATCTCTGTAAATACTGTAAATATAGAACATTATAGACTCTTAAATTTGGTTACGTGCTGTGAACTTTCTTGTGGTTGTCCTTCACCTCGCGCCTTCCCGCGCAACCTCGCGCTTCCGAACACTAATATACAATGAATATACGCGAATCAACAACTATATCAATATTATATACATGCGACAAACCACTATATTACAATTATATACATAACGAGCGCCAACCAAAAATTATAAAGAAATTTATATTTGCTGTGTACAATTCTTACATTTTTTTACAATCAAGGTTTTATAAAATAAAAAGAAGAAGAAAAAAAGAAATAAAACTTAAAAAAATTAATTTTGATCGAGAAGTTGATGTGTCTTGAGTCGATATGTATCGCGCTGTCGATATGTATTACTATCACTTTTCCGCGCGAGAGTGGTTGGTTCATTAAGATGTCGGCGAGAGTAGTTGAAGAGACTATACATCGGAGCTCAGGTACCTCCGGGGGGAAGCGGGGCGGGCCGCGCGCACGCGGGGGAAACGCCATAAGAGATGGGCGAAGGGATCGAGGGGAAGGGTATAGGTTCATCGGAGGGGGGGGGAAACTGCGGGAAAAAAATTCCCCACGCGATTTACTAGTAATTGGACAAGTTTTTATTGCTGTCCAATCAGATTTGAAAACAAACTCGAGGCTGTCCAATCAGATGACAGTATTTTGTGGTAACCTGAAAGATGTAAATTCCCTAGGCGGGTGATGGGGAATTTCGCGCCACAACGTTGGCACCGGGGTGGGGGGTAGGGGATCGTCAAACGCGGACGTTCCGAGGGGGCGCTTGGATCGGCGGATCCGCATTATCGACCGCGTTATCGACCGCGTTATCGACCGCGTTATCGGTCGCGCGCGGAAATCCGGCCCGATTCGTCACCGCGTTATCGATCACGTTTAAACTCGTTCGAACGCGTTCAAACTCGTTCAAGGTCGCTCTGCTCGACGTCCCGCGCGGCAGTGTGGGTGAGCGCGCGAAAACGCGTTCGAACGTGTTCAAAGTCGTTATTTTTTTCACAGTCACGATATCCGTTCTTCGTTCTTGTTCGTTTCGGTTTCGATCTTTCTCTACTACGTATCGTAGATGACGCAATCGCGGTGATTGTGGAGTAAGCGGAGTCGGGGGATCTAGGAAGCGCGGGATCGTATCAAGATAGGTACGGATCTGGAAGGAGGGAAAAAGAAAGAGAGAGAACACATAGATGACATATGTAGTTTTATTTTGAGAAAAATAAAATATATATACAAAAGTCGAAACGCGTTTACATTTTTTTGTGCGTATGTGCGTCGTGACATTAGGATTGGAAACAGAGCGCGGTAATCTCGCAGTTAACGATATTGTTAGGATCGAAGAATTCGCTCTTCAGTATCGCAGTTTTAACCGAAGTTCCCGCCTTGATTGCGTTGGCGGCTATCTCCCGATGGCGCGAATACTTCGCGTCGACTTCCTCGGTCGCCGCGCTCAGCGCCGAGACGACGCGATCGACGCAAAGTTGAAGATCGTATAGCGTGAGCAGGGTTTTAAGCGACATCGCCAGACGAGTCGCGTTGGGTAGCTCCATACGTAAGATCGGCAGGTTGTTGATCGATGTGAATTGCAGCGTCAGTCCACCGATCGATATCGTTGAGGGGGGGCGGGTTCCATCGGCGAGGTTGGATTGCAGACACGACAGTATCTCGCGTTTACGTTTGACTAGCCCTTTCCACATATCGAGTGTCAGGAAGACCTCCCGCCTTGTTTGTCTCCCAGAGCAATATCCACGTACAAAGGCGTATAATGTATACTGTACCACGGTGACTTAATCGTGATACCTATGGTTATGTATTTGTAGCCAGTCGTCGTCAGCAGATAACGCGTCGTCAGGATGCGTACCGCAGGCAAGTCAGCGGGCATGTCGGTGGGAGGGTGAGAACTGAACCACCGCGACTCCCGATGATAGTGATGATGATCGTCCGCCGATTCGATCCTTCGTCTTTTGCCGTTGTCGTTCACCTCCAAATCCGTCTCGCGAGGGGAAAGATCCCTCGGCGCGGGTCGATCGGTCAACGTCGACAACATTTCGCGCACACGTTGTAGTAGTATCGTTCGTTTCTGATTTTTTTTCGACGCGTCGTATTCGGCTGACGACGCGTTACTGATGCTTTGGGGAGAACACATCGGTATAAGTAGAAAAGTTCTTACTTATATCGCGCGATGTGTGGTGGGGATTTGCGCGGGTACTCTAGATCCTTCGGTTGGTACGGCGATCGGAAAGCTGAACGCCCGAATCGTCGTCATCGTCCGAATAGCTCGCCAGTGACGTTAAATCGCCGACGCGTACAATTCGATCGAGAAGATCGCGCAACTGTTGCAACAGTTCGGTCTTAGGACAAACGATATTCAACAGCCATAGATCGAATTTACCGGCAGCCGTGACGGTTTTCGTAAATTCGTTGAATCTGTAGAACTGCGTCCGAGTGGTGAAGTACAGATTGTCGTCGACGTATCGGAAAATCGACGTTACGCCGGTCGGTATTCTGGGAAACGTCGCCTCGAAAGCCGTAAATATGCCAACTCTCTTGTTGCATTCGTTTATCTCGCCCACCGAATTACCGTTGAACACTACGAAGGAACGTCCTCTGTGGGTGTTTACCGCTCCGTTGATTATCGTTCGTTCGGGAAATCCGAGTTCTTGCAAGGTCCTCGGCCAACTTGGTCGAAACGTAAATTCCGGATATTGAACCATGTATACCAAATTATCTACGAACACCATGAGATCACCGGACAGGGATTGATAGGCGGCGGTCACGCGCGTGTAATTGTCGTGAAGAAAGCACATGTGATTCGAAAGGGCTAGAGGTCCATTGTACGTCCTACCATCGAGATCGATCGACCAAACGTAACGCTTGTACGAGATGTACATACGATTTTCCAAAATTAATATCCCGTTCACGCGATCAATGGTGCACAGGTCCAGCATTGGCGGCGGTGGCGGTGGCGGCAGCGCCGGCGTCCGCGGGGGCTCGTTCATAACTTTTTCACCGTACAAACGTTGAACGTCGAGAATGTCGGATTTGTCGAGCTTAACCGGATACTGCTTGTCGGGCGTGAACGCAAACATCACCGATGTTCTGCGCTTATTGTGCGCCAATCCGAGAGAGTGGCCGATCTCATGGGTCAGCGTGTAATGCAGGGAGAACTTATCCGCGGGATGTTTACCGACGTGAATATGCCACGGCTTGTCCCCGTCGACGTGTATCTCAGAGACGAACCCCGCTACGTCCGTCAGGAAATGCGCGTGGGCGAGCACGTTACCGGGACTGTCGAATTTGGCCGAGCAATTTGGGCCGTTTACGTCGACATTTGTGTTACCGTGACGTAAAGTTCGAAAAGATATTATAATGTCGGGATTCGTTTCGGAGCGTTCGAACGTCAATGCCGAATGCTGCGTCCACAGGTCAAACGCGGCCTGCGCGGTATTCAAATCGTCCTGAGTCCCTACGGAAAACTTCCACCGCAGGTGAGTCCTCGGCCATTTGGATAGACTCGCTCTCGTTCCGTGTTTTAGGATATCTTGGAAACCACATCGCGGTTTACGCATCAATTGCAGCGTTTGGTTGTCGAGCGTTCCATCGCCGGGCAGACCGTAGTATTGTTGAAATTCATCGATGGCGTTGCGAAAAACGTCGTTTCGTCTCTGAGCTGGAAACGCGTCCACATCTTCGGTCAGATATCCGTATTTCTGCAGGTAATCGATCGTATGTGCGTAATTCTCGTCCGTGGGAGTGATGCACCTCGCGGTGATAAAACACGCGGTTAACGCAATTACGCGCGCGAGCCACATCGTCGAGAACGAGAGAGAGCGAGAGATACGGCGAAACTGCGATAACGGCGTCTCGCGATATGAGCGCGATCGCCGCGCGCGGTCTACGTGGTGACGTTCGTTGCCGATAACGCGGACAGGTGGCAGCGGGGTCTCGGGGCGGAAGAAATGCGTCGATTCCGGCGGGTGAGTCCGTTTGATAAAAAATGCATTTCTTCCTCTCTGTGCAAAGGATAATTTTTTAAAATAGTTTTTATTACACAATATCCTGCTTCTTTTATTAGCGACGATATGAACGCGACGCGCGGTCTACGTGGGATGCTCGTTAGCGATAGCGCGGACAGGTGGTGGCGGGGGTCTCGGGGTGGAAAAATGCGTCGGCGATTCCGGTGGACTTTGGTCGGTTTGATAAAAAAGAAACGCAATTTCTCTCTCTATGGAAAACGCTATTTTGTATATATATAAATATTATAAATAGTTCTCATCGCGCAATATCCTTCTTTGATTGCACATCCCTTCTTCGATCGCACTTCCTTATTTTATTGCACATCCTCGATATATAAGGACTCGAGGCTAGACTTGTGCGTAGTCCAACCACAAGTAGTGTATCAAGCTAGTGACCGAAATTTTTGTATAAAAAAACGCTATAGAGAAAATTGCCAACTTGAAGAAAATTGCCAATGTGCTGCAAGTTCAGGTTTTGTCCGTAGCTAGGGCTACGGACGACTTACGCGAGGCGATGCTGCAGCTGCAGCATCGCCTCAGGAATATTATCGATAGAGCGCCGCCCTGTCTGGAAGTAACGATTCGCGTTGACGAGGACGCACGGATGTTCAATCGAATGTAAGTTTTGACAAACGCAAAATTATATTGTTATATCAAAAAATAAAAAATAACAGTATTTACATTTAATTATTTATATTATAAACATTTATACCTATATTTATTTATCATCTTTATAATAAGTCGTTTTATTTTCGACCCAACTGGCCAATTAAAACTGGCCAATTAAGAAAAATGTAGATAATCATTCTGTTGTGAGCAAACATCGCCTTACACACAATCATGATTTCAAGTGGCAACACCCGAAAATTTTATACAAAGAAAAACATTTCAAAAAAAGAGAAATATCGGAAATGTTTTTCATTAAAAAACATGATTGCACAGTCAATTTACAAAACGATACTGAGAGCCTGCCATCTATTTATAACCGGGTCATAGGTATCACTTAGTCGGCCCTGTATATTCGGTTCTGCTCGTTTTTCCATCAGAGCGCCGTTTGCTATCCGCGGATTACGTTTGACAACTTCATTTCGACTTTGACTGTCTTACTGTTCGGACGTTGTGCCTCGATATGGCTGGTGACGTTTTGATTTCACCGTGTGTTTTGGAACGCATAGGAATTGTAAGCTTTTAACCAATTTTTACAGTGTTAATTAATTTTATTGTTTTTGACCAGCGTGATATTGTAACGATTTTGTATAGTTTTTCTATTGTTAAATGTATTATTTTCTCTTTTGTTTAGTTTTGCGTTTGTCTTGACGTTGTCAGGACACCACGTCAACGATGCAATTTGTTATGCGGATCGGTGTAACTTAAATTAATAGCACTTGGTAAGGACCGGAATTCGGTCGAAACGTCGTGCAATATTGTTTTAATTGGCCAGTTGGGTCGAAAATAAAACGACTTATTTTGAATTATTTGCTGGCGACGGAAATTGTTTTGTTTATTTATCATCTTTATATTATTTATATATTTATTTATACAAACATGTATATATTCATTTATATATTCTGTTATTAATAATATGTATTTTTTTGCGCAGAGAACTCATCCTATCGGTGCTCAAAAAATCAAAGAACCACATGCGTTTATACGCCGCTCGGATTCGCAGCATGTATCGGGATGCTGCGCGACTCGATACATCGACGGAGCAGCTTCGCGATGCATGTTGCGACGACGATGGCGACGACGAAGACGGCAACGGTGAGGACGGGAATGTCAACCTGATAGACGTCGACGCCGACCTGATAAACGTCGACGACTACGACGACGACGTTGGTGAAAACTGGCCCACCCCCTCCTCCCCAATAGCAAATAAATAAGTGAAAATGATAAAAAATAAATACAACAAACGAGTAATATAAGTAAATATTGAATAACTATATAGATGTAATGTTTAATATCAAATAAATATAATTCTCTTTTATTTGCATTATGAAATCTGTTATACAAAAATCTGTGATTTATAGCTATAAATATAATAATAAATAAGTATTATATAAAGATAAATACGTGCGAATTATAACGAGATTAGACGCTCCTGCCGCCGATATTGCGCTTCCGCTTGACGCTTCCGACTATGCTCAGTTTCGCGCTCGGCATTATCACTCGCTCTCGCGTTCCACCGTTCTTCTTCGAGTTCGACGCTCTCGTTCGCTTACGCATCGTTCGCGGTCGTCTCGACGCTGTCGCTCTCGCGCTCGGCGTTATCGAGCACGATTATATGTATAATGTATATGCGGTGTAAGTATGCGGAAAAAAATGAATAATTTTGTTCGTCGATTTTGCATCAGTTTTTTATTATTGATTAAAATATTATATATATACATAGATGGATACATATTTATATTTGATCCGTGGAGTTGATGCTGGAAAAACAATCACGTCGCTCGTTCCACCAGTCGCGCAACTTCATTACGTTCTCCATAGCGCAGCACCGTTGATGACGTCCGCAGCGAAACGCCCGATCGGCCCGAAGAAATTCCAATCGATTGATGTCGTCGTACTCGTCGTCGATGGTCTCGATCGTCGCGTCGACGTCGCGAACGGCGTCGCCGAGGATCTCCTCCAGCCACCTCTTCTTTTCGAGTTCTTTCACGTATATCCGCGCGCCGGGCGTCTCTCTTCTCTCACCCAGGTCATCGCACACCGCGCGTCGAATAATCGACCTGGCTAGGCGATAGTCCACGTCCCCGTCTTTCCAACGGAAGCCGTGATGGTTCGCCATCAGCCAGTTAGCCCTCGCTTTCTCGGCGCTCGTGAGAAGGTCCCACGCCATCGGCGCGCGAAACCGTGATGCGCGAGTTCGCGCGTCTCGCTTCGGAGCACGGCCACCTCCTTCGCGACGAATCTGTCGCTCACCACGAATCCCTGCAGGTCGACGAAGATCGTCGTCGTCGTTGCAGCTGCGGCCATTGAGTCGGTGCGCGTCGAACAATTCACACTCAAGCTGCTCATTCTTAACGGGATCTGAGGAACGATCGAAGGATCCCCGTATTTATATATCTCTCATTTCCGGGATGTGGTGTCCCACAATCGCATCTTTCCGTTAGATAATTTTGCGCACCACGTTGGTCAGTGGACCTCAATGACGCGATCGTAAACGATGAGACAAAAGGCGGTGGTCTTCGGCGGAACGTTTTCCTTGCATTTGAATTCGATGCGCACGTCCACGGTGGCGCTCTTCACCGCTTCGTTTTGGCGGGAACAATCGATCACCACGAGCGGAGCTACACGCGCGAATTCGCGCGGGGAGAAGAGCGCGTCGTCGCGACTGTCCCCGTAGTACGCTCCTCGAAATTTCGCGTACATCTCGTACAGCACGGCAAACTTGTCGCTCTCGAAATCCGCGTTCACGTCGTCGTAGGGATAGAATTCCGAGTTGAGATACAATTTCACGTTGGCGAGCGCGCAATGATCGAACCGTAAATTCGTTTCGCCGTCCGGTCCGCAGCACGAATATGACGTATCGCGGCTTCTCCAACTGCGGCGCGGCTTTCACGGCCCACGAATGCTTGGTCGTGCTCTGCAGCAGGGGAAATTCGTACAGGTCCCAAGAGCGAAAGCCCGCGCTCAGAAATCGTCCGCTCTCCAACGTTCGCAATAGCAACAGTTTAGTCACGTCGTTTAACGCCACGTGCGGCATACGCCATTGTACTTTTAGTAGTGTAATTTTAGGATCCTTGGCCGGATCTCTCGGTACGATTTTCTTCGGATCTACGACGCAGTTGTGGTCGCTACGAGAGCGTATCAGGATAAGTTCGTATCGCGCGTTTATCACCACGCGTTTGTAGTCCTCGCAGAAACCCAAGAAAATATTCAAAGGCGTAAAAGTTGAATTGACGGGATGGGCTCTCCTGGCTCGTTCGGCGGTCAGCGACACGTTCTTTATCGTGCTGGTTATTCCGACGTTTCTACACCGGTCGATCTTCACGCCGTCGAGTTCGTATCGAATCTCGTCGCCTCCGACGTTGCCGCGCCGCCGGCGTCGTCATAGAGTCGTCCCTCGACATACAGGAAACTGTCGCACGGCAGTGTATACAGATCCTGCTGCTGTATGGTTATTCGTATCTCGTCGTTGTGCCCGAACGTCGTGTTGACGTACGGGTTTACATGTGAGTCTCGATTCCGACGATGCGCTCGTCGAAGATTGGCTCACCGCCGATACTCAGAATGTCGGCCATGGTCTTTTCTTTCGTCAATGTGGAAACGACGCGGCGGCGAAGCGTTTCTCACGGCGAAACCCAGCGATCGTAGGAACCTGACGTTGGCGTTGCTGAGAACGGCTCTCCTTCCTCCTTCACCACCACCGCCTCTTCTCTTCCTTACGCTTTCGATTTCGCCGTAGAACGGGCTAGCTCGCTCGTTCGTACAATTCGCGCTCGATCCGTTCAGAACGAGCATCCCTCTCGCTCTCTCTCCTCAAATCGCGGAGATACGCGCACACACACACTAACCGCGGCGACGACGTACGTGCAGTCTAATCGTTATCTCCTTGCCGCAAAAGTCGATCAATCGATCGTTCTGATCCACGATTCGCACCGTGATATTGGTGACGTTTCGCACAACGATCGGGAGGTAAATGATCTGCGTCGGAGTCTCTGACAGTTTATATACCGGTGGAACTTTCGGCGCGATTTCGTGTATCGCGTGCACCGAGCGTCCGTTGCTGTACGCTCCCGTGGTGATGCTGCATTCGATGCGAATTATGTTCACGGTCATGACGTCAACGGGTCCGT